TCTCCTCAGAAAATTTTTGAAGAAAAATGAATTATTTCTTTGAAAAAATTTCTATAATAGAACCTATTTTTAATATGAGAAATTTCTCGACATAGCTAATTAACTCTTCATTTTTATCCTTTTTCGTTCAATAATTATTAAATCAACTTACCTTTTTCACTTCTACAAAAGCTCAGAGAGCACAGTGTTTCTTTACAGAAAATATAAATAACTTCTCTCTGTTCATATATTGAAAGTATACATTTTAATCGTCTCGAATTTGTTTCGTACATTGACCTTAGATATTTTTCTTTTACGCTTTTTTTCCCGTTAATGTCAAAGGTCAGAAAAACATCCTTTGTTTCTCATATTTGTGATTTCTTGATGGCTATGTGCTACACAAGTGGTAGATTTCATATTAGAAATGAAAAGAAAATACAATATAACATAAAAATATATAAAAGGAACTTGTTTTATTCATAATAAAAGTATCGCTGCATAATTTACAAAATTTTTTTTTGAATTCTATTTATTAAATTTTAATATCAAAATATTTATGAATATTATCTTAGAACAGTAATGAAACAACCTGGAAAAATTATATTTACTTCCGAATATAATTCTTTTATCTCAGATAAATTAATTAAGAAAGAATTTAATCAAACACTCTTATGAATAGTTTCTCTCGTGTAGTCATAACTGGTCAAAAACCTGCGGACAATTGCAGTTTTAATGAAAAATAGACAACATGGGATGTCACTTTAAATACTGAAATTATTCTATATTAAAATATTTTAGTAACTTTAGAAATAGCAGATGAGAAAGTTAATGTTAGATTGGAAATATGACTATATAAGAAATTATCTGTTTCTAATAAATCGATGAAAATGATCTTACTTATAAAGTATCATCCTTTGAAGAGAATATATCAACAGTGTGAATTCTCCTTATTTTACTATACTTCTATTGTCAATATGACAACTATTTTTTTTTCTATATCATCTTTATAAAATAAATGATATTGCATGCTATCTTTAGTTGAGTGAATGCGAATGTTTGAAAACAATTCTATACACAAAATGATAATTTGTAAGTAGCTATGAAGATATTGAGTGCTTCATCCTTTTGTGTAACTTGAACAGGTTTAGTTTAACTAAATTTATATGAAAGAACGTACTTGATGACCTTTTTTCTGTACTCTAATAGTTCTTATCCTTATATGTTGATATGAAATAGTACTTTAGTGTTGATAGAATTGATTATTATTGTGTAATAAATAATTCAAAATTTTGTTATTTTTGTTTATGATACCACTAAAGCTAGTTTATTATATCTGAAGGGATTGAACAATTTTGAAAATAATTATATTTAGTAGAAAAGAAAGAACATAATGCTCTGATTTTTCCTTGAAATAGATAAATTCATTTGTCTTGAAATTTGATGATATCTATAAATGTATTTTATTTTTGTAAAGCTTTATTTATGTAAATAGGGCACATTCAACGTAGTTTATCTATCATCGAATAATCTTCATATCATTTATACACATCGATGGAAATATTTTCATATATCATTTTTATATTTAGAAAAAGAAAACATTGTATTTAATTGTAGAATTACGATATCGATAAAAGCAATAGATGTTTAATTAATAAAATATTACATATAGATTTGTTGTCATATAATTATTCATTCATTTATAATTATTAAATAAAACTTCATCTTTTATTTCAACTTATTCAAGTATCGTATTTTTAGGAAAAAAATTAATTAAAAAACAAAAGATTAAACTGAAATACATCTTTTCTAGCTTGAGAAAAGTAATTTTAGAAACTAATAAACTTTTTATCTTTTATAATAGAAAATCGACTTTATATCATCAGTGAAGACTGAATGAAAATTTTCAATATAATTTCTCATTCAGCTAATAATTCTGAAAGGAACTAATTATATTTTCAGTTGAGTATAACTAGAAGTTTAAAGTGATCAAATAATAATTGGAATATTTCTCAATTGATTAAAATGAAAACTTCAATTATTTAATCGATAATAATGATAATCTTGTTCATATCATAAAAAAGATTTCAAAAAAAAACTTCAGATATTTTTAAAAATAGTTAATAGTTTATTATCAATAAATGTTGTTAGATGTATAGACAAATAATAAAAGAATGATTTGAAATAATTAAATAATATATTAAAGAAGGATTTAAGAATTCATAGTCATTGTTGTTAGAAAAAAAAGCGATCAAATATATTTTAGGAATTAGCCATTTAAATGATAGTTATTATCAGTAAATCATTATGCTTTAGTATATTTGAAATCATGAATAATTATTTCCACTGGTTGACCATTCGTTGGTGGTTGACCTTGAAAGGCCCATAAATTGAGATGTAGAGGAGTACTAGTATAAGGCATTGATGATGCAAAATCTGTTGGTGTTTGATATGAAAAAAAAATATTTGTATTTGGTGAAGTCATAAAACCATGTTGACTTTGGAAAGAAACATTTTCAGGAGTCCAAGTAAACTGATGAGTTGTATATGTTCCTTGTAGAGATATACGTGTACCAGATGATACTGGATCATGAATACCCAATGTATGTGGATAGACTGTATAAAAGAGATTCGATGCTTCTGCTTCTGTTCTACCCCATTTAGCCATTTCAATGTCAATTTCATTTGTACCATCAGGACCTTTATAAGTAAATAGACCCAATACAACATTACGATCAAGTTGATCAATTGCTCCTTCGATAAACCATCGAAAAGTACCAAAACTAAAATTAATACTGGTGTATAATTCAGCACATGTCCATCCACCTGTTGTAGATGAATAACGAAGTGTCAAATGAAGTTTATTATTTCCATCAACCCATACATTATTTGAGTCCCAGTTGTTTGGACCTATGATAAAATAAAATTGAAAAGAATATTTTATCTTAAATTGATCAAATCAATCACAATTACCAGGTCCACTATTTTGATCATCACGTAGATACCATTGATATCCTGCCCAGTTAATTGACTTTTGAGCATTCATAACCCAAACTATAATATGAAAGAATATAGTTTGATTATATGTGATAAACAACAAATACGTACCTAGAGTTAATAATAAGATTGCTGTAGTTATTGATATTGTCTGCATCCTGATGAGAATATATTATATTTTAATGATACTAAAAACAACAATATATTATACTACTCAATTACACAAGGCTATTAAAAAAATCATGTTAAAACTTCATTACAACGGTATTTTAATGCTTGATTATCATTAGAACACTGTTTAGACAATTTCTTTAACGCATTCAGTGGCTTAGCTAAGGAAACATATTTTTACGGGTATTTTACTAAACGAGTATTATTATATTCAATAATCACTCGTTATCTTCTTGGTTTTTTTTAAGCGATTCAATTCGCTTAAAAGAATTCATCTCTTGAGATTAGTTTGAACACAGAATGTATAGTTGGTATATTTGATGGTCGAATTTTCTTAGAACCACTAAAGTTCTTCGTTTTTTGTGTCTGCATGAATAAGTGACAAAAGTTGTAGGTACTTCTACAGAATATGCACTGTTCTCACTCACACAGTGATTTTCATATGCGATACAATGTGCATGCGAATAAAGACCTTGCATATTGTGTAGAAGTACTTTAAAAGAGAAAAATAAGCTTAACAATAATACAACGAAAACGCAACTGTATTTTTGAAGTACTTCATAAACAAAAAAACAAAGTTGTTTTTGCCGAACAGAAACGGTTGAAGGTAAACTACCTTTTCGTTTTCTCAAGTATATTGCTTATTCTACCTATTAAGACCCACGTCCACATATTGTGCATTATATGATATTTTCAACAAATCACATGCATAATAACTTTTGTTTTCGATAAGTCAAAGAAGAGTTGCACAATATATTCAAAATAATATTTTACGAAGAAAGATATAAATTCATTATGGAGAGATTGAAATAAAAAAGAACACTTTTGTGAATTTTCTTTTTTCCCTAATCTCTGTTGATAATATGTTTTAAGTTTTCATGAGTTGTGATCTACTTTAAATCATACAGTACATCGAATACCTTGGTTCTGAATAATTTTAATTATTATTGCATCGCTACTCTGAGAAAATATTTGAAGTCGACGAAAAGTGATTTAAATGATTCAGCCGTTTATCAACATATTAAAACGTATTTTTCATTTTTCTTATCAGCTATATTTCAATTAACTATCTCGTTTGTTTTCTAATCCGCCCAATTAGACATATATTCATTACATGATGATATCATTTTTCTTTTTCTCTCATATCAATTACCGATTTTTTCTTCATATCTTTTTCATTTCTATTCAGCATATAATCTCACATATTTTTATTTTGGAACTTATTGCATTCTCCCTTACTAGGGCTATTTTTTCCAGTAATTTACTTAATTTAGCAAACGAATGTGTCAAAACGTGTTGAACATCTTCAACGAAAATGAAATCGAAAAAAAACATGTGCTTTTCATGATTTTATTTTCGTTCAAATTTCGATGCATTTTTCTTGTTATTTGTCTGAATGGGAAGAAAAGATTAAGGAGGGAAGATATCTTCCATCAGTACACTCTCAAACTCTGTCAGTTTATAGAGAATATTTTTAGTGATACGCCTATGTAATAAAAAAAAAATTGGTGAATTATTGATAGAGTTATTAATTAATTAAGTTTAAAATTAATGGAACATTTTAGATTGAGAAACATTGTTTTTTGAATTCTAGTATTTCATATGAATATTATATTTAATTGATTCTCGTGTAGTTTTGTAGATATAACTTCATACAAAAAATATTAAAGATGAATTGTTTTGTATGACATATAATTACTAATTAGTCACACTTTCGTGTAAAAGATAAATTTTCTTTATTGAAGAATAAATTGAAAACAATCGTACAACATATTATTCGATAGAGCTTGAAAATCTCTATCGATTGTCCAACTAATTTCTTTTGAAAACTTCCATTTTCAAAAAAACCATTCGATATCATCAACAACATGTTTAGGAATGGGCTCGTATGTTGCAATTTTAACTATTATACCTCTCATTACACCCCAAATCGATATAATATTCGAAATTAACATAACAAATTGAGTGGAATAATATATTTTTCATACAAAAAAGTTCTGTGAGATTTACACCTGTATTCTCCGCCTTTTTACAATAATTTTGTCCGTGGTCCGTCCAACATACGGTTTTGGACAAAAAAAAATTTTCTGCATAAAAATTATGTTATCTAACTCAGTTTTTGATGTTAATCCCAAATATCATATCCATTTTGGCCGTAGATAGAGATATAATGGTTAAAATCGCAAAATGTGAGTCCATTTTATAGTATATTGTCCATGATATCGAATGGTTTTTTTGAAAATGGAAGCTTTTAAAAGAAATTAGTTGGACAATCGATAGAGATTTTTAAGCTCTATCGAATGATATGTTGTACGATTATTTTTAATTTGTTCTTAAATAAAGAAAATTTATCCTTTACACGAAAGTGTGACTAATTAGTAACTACATGTCATACAAAACAATTCATCTTTAGTATTTTTTTGTATGGGCTTTTGTCTACAAGTAATTGTCTACAAAACTACACTAAAATGAACTAAATATGACGCTCATATGAAACATTAGAATTTTTAAAAATTCTTCTCAGTGTAAAATATTCAATTAATTTTGAACTTAATTGATTAATAATTCATTCAATAGTACGCCAATTTTTTTTATTGCATAGGCATATCATTGAAGATATTCTTTACAAACTGACACAGTTTGAGGATATATTTAAGTAGGATACTTCCTCCTCTAATAAGAAATTATACACTTACTATTTATGTTTGTTTAACCAAATAATATTTGATTCTAAGCTGGTAATTTGAGTAAATGACAGCTGTTGTCTCTAATTATACCAAAATAATTTTGATGAATTTCTATCTTTTGAAGTTATTCCAAATGAAAAAAATTGTTGCTTCTATTGATTAATAGCCAAAGATAATTGTACTTGATATACAGATATGTTTTATTGTAATAAATACGCCACTATATATATATAGGTTGATGAGTAATAAGTAACATATGGTAATATTCAAGCGCGTTAAAAAAAGAACACCTGAGAGAAAGAGAGACAATGAATCAGATAATAGAAAGGGAAAAAACACACATGATATAAAGAAAAGAGGGAACTCTTCCAAGGTAAACCTGTGGGTTGTTGGAGCACGAGACGTGACCAGTGATGTGCACTTTTTCATCAGTGGGAATTTGTCAATATTAGTACGCATTTCAATTTTGTTGTTCCTCTAAGGAGACTGTATAGTTATTAGAAATAGTGGGAAAAAAGGTATATATAAGGTGGGAGATCCTTTTTAAACAAAATATAAATAAATTAATTATCTGCATATTTAATATGTCTTTTGTCATTTTTAAAATGTTTAGTTGTTTTCATAATTCTTTTTTTTTATACACAATTATTTGAAATCTTATACTTCTAACTTGTTCAAGAATCATCAAGAAAAAACTTTTGAATATATTCTTTTCTTTTTCTAAATCTTTCGAATTTAAAGAGAATTAAATTGATCTTGATTTCATTTTTAATTTGTTTGATATAAAAAATGAAATGTTCAATAATTCAGTTCAATCAAAAATCATCATCGTATATTTTTGTTTACACTGTACTCTATGTGCATTACTTGTGAAATGAAACACAACATTCAATACTACTACAACATCTATCGATCAATGTAAATGCATATGTATTTTTTTTTCGTTTTCTACAGGTTTTCTCTCTTTTTTTTCTCTATCTATTGAAGTAATGGTTTGGACTAAAAATCTATGTGTAGATTTTTTTGTTATCAAAATGAATAGCCGTTTTCAAGTTTACAAAATACACTGCTGAAATGACACTACGAAAGCGAACATAGTCCGTGTTAATTAATTATCTTGAAAGTCTCTTTTCAACAAATATTCACTCAAATAAAGTATTAGATTTTGTAAAAACAGGAATGCAATTAGTTACCGAATTGCACATACCTTGTCGCTGCTCAAGAAATTGCTACATATGACATTACCTTCTATCTTTAAATGTTCAAATATCTGCATTAACTGTAGTGAAAATCTTATAAGTATTTATTTTTTATTTAAATGATGAAATGATGATAATCAGAATATATGTTGCATGAGGGAAATAGTCTTTTAAATGTTCAGGAAATTTTGATTTCTTGTAAAACAAAATATAACTTAATTTGGCGCAATTATTTCGACTTGTATTTCTTCTAAAATAGCGTGTTACTTTTTTCGCTAATCGATAATTCATACGAATATGAACATCATTTGATAAACATGTTTTGGTATCAAATAAAAATTGTTCATGATAATCTGTGTGAGCTTCCCTAAGATTAAGTTGAATAAGATGTGGATATTTAACAATTAATAAATCTTCATTTTCATTTTTTGATTTTCTAAATCGTTTATTATTTTGTCGTTGCTCATTAATTACAGTTAATGTTTCCAACAATGGAAATGATTGAGTAATTCGAAGAAAAAATTCATGTTCGAAAGGATGTTCATCATATAATGATACTTCACAAACATATTTAAATAATCCATCTCGAAAATTATTTGTTATATTATCATAATGCTTCAATTGATATGGATATGAATAAATATGACATCGACTACGTTTGCGTTTTTCGAAATAATCAATACAAGAAATAATTTGATTATCTTTAAAATCTTTGAATGTATTTTGAATATCTTCATTTGATGGTAAATTAGTTTTACTATAAAAAGAACTCATTGAACAAATATTGAACGTGAATTTGCTTAATAGTGGCATATGATTGATAATGTTTAGTTTCAAATCATTACCGTCACGAAATCTTTTATTGTCCCAAACTTTAACAGACAAATAGAGGTTTTCTAAATTTGACATTCGATGCAAAAGTGGTAAAATTAATTCATCATAAAACTCTGCACTGTGATTACAATATAGCGAAACGGATCTCAGATTAGGTAGTTGTTCCTGAAAAAAAGAACCAATATCAGTTTATTTGAATAAATTAAATATTAATCAAAATCTTCTACCTTATTATTGATTGTTAAAGTCAGAATGATAATGAAATCAATATTAACATGAAGTACACGAAGCTGATTGAAACGTCCATCAAGTAAATAAAGACAATCATTAGAAGACTTCAAATGGACGTGTAATTCTAACAGAATTGAAGAGATAACAGTTATGAGTGATTCAAATGATAAATATTCAAAACTATTTTCAGATATATCAAAGTTTAATACTCGTAAATTGGCGAATGTAGTAAACATATGCGTAAATGAAAGTGCATTGTTATCTTTTCTTGATATTTGTTCCCCATTTGAATTCGCATGGAAAATAAGTGATGATATTCGATTTTTCAAGGTACAACTGAGAAGAGTTTCATCTAAACAATGAAAAGATCAAAAATATTTTATTACTACATTTTCTTTTTCACACATTTCTATTAAAGTTTAAGTTGATAATATGAAAGTTTATATTTTAGTATTTCCTTTATATAAACATTTATCTTCTATTTCAAATGATCTCTTTGATGAGTTTTCTTCTCATTCATATTGATAGATAAAAATTTCTTAATGTTATCGGTGTAATTATCTAATTAATGACATTATGAATTGATTCAAATTCATTTGATATATAGCTTTAATGTACGTATCGATGAAAAAATTGAAGTGAAATATCTTACCGGAAAGAAGATGCACAGCTTTTTCTACTTGAATATTGTATAAACCAAGTCCAGATAAATTGGAATAGTTTGTAGCCAGAAGAATACGTTCCATTGAAAATGGTTCAAGATTAAGCTATTCAATTTTATTATGAATTTCAGGTAAGATTTGTAAACAAAATGGATCAATTATTGGATCAGGTAATGGATAAACTAAATATCTTGGTAAAGCGTAGAACACAATTAAAGGAACTGGTAGAAATCTTAGCAAAGTCAAACAATTCGTGAAAATAGAATCATGTGCTATTCTATTTAATCGTTTGTTAACACCAATTAACGAGTAAAGTAGCCAGATGTTATGCAATTTTTTAAAAATAATCATAAGAATTTCATCAGGTAAATGACTCAATTGAACCCATGAATATTCCATAATCGTCTACACCTATGTTTATTCTATCTTTTCAACTTAAAAATGTCAATATTTATATACGCATACTCATGTGTTCTACTTGATCGATATCGTCCATGAGAAGAAAGATGTATTTCTCTATAGTTTAAATGGGCAATGAATGAATATACGGCTGATAAAATGAACTTTTTTTTCGTTTTTGTTTGATCTATCATTTAATGTGTGAATAACCATTTAGAAAATCTGTTTATTATTCATATTGTAATATACAAAGGACACTTAAATTTTTGATCCCGGAAATTAAGCACAATTGATCCCGGTTATAAAGTTTCAAAAGAAAATGCGCAAATGATACCGATTTTTTAGATAATTTTTAATTACTTATATAATAACACAAGTGATCCCGGAAAAAG